AATTTATATCTTATAAATACCCAATCATGTAACTATAATCTGTGAGCACCTAATAAAAGATAAACCCTAGTTGCAACCCGTGGAGTAGGTTACTGACCGAACCACGTTAAATCTCGTCTTCTTATTTTCTGCTATTTGTGTGTGTGTGTTTGTTCGCTTCCGCTTGATCGCCTCTGATCTCTGATTCCTAACATTGTAGTGCCTTGATTTATAAATCCCGTAGTTACTCTCTTGTCATCGGCTCATCGCATATAACAAGAGATCATATTTTTCTAGCACAAGGTGGCAATATGCTTCATTCTTTCTGGAAGACTGGATTAAGTGCAATGTGTGTAGCAAACTGATTACTACACCACCACCAATTTTAGTTAATAGTTGATCCATCCGTATTACCTCACATGCATATTATGTCATAGCACATTATTTTGAATTTTTGGATCAAAATACCACATTATGGTCTTGCCCTTCCATAAAACCAATGTTCCACTACCAAAACACATCAACCAATTGTAGATCATTGATCATCCTTTGATCTAGGCCAATCAGCACCTGCATTACCATAATTTCTTATAGAAATAACTAGGAGTTTTATCCTGTTTTCTAAGTTGCTGAATGCTGATTGGATCTGACAAGGTTAGGATAAGTCGATAAGGTTAGTTTGTAGTCATCCCAAATTTGTAGGGATTGTTTGTTTTATTATCTTCTTTTCCTGTTGTAACCAGACACCATAAATGACCTGGTTTATTTTTATTTTTTCTCTTCATTAAGAAATAAGCTGATTATTATTTGCAATTGGAGATTCTCCATTGTTGGCTATTTAGAGTTATCGAGTGAGATTCTTGCTCAAATACCTCTTAGTACCTATACTTTATCCTATTTTCATATTCAGTTCCTCTGGTTCCTAACACTGTACATAAGCTGCATGTTCAAATTGAGGATAGATTTTCTTAAACAAGGGTATAGATGTATGCCCCAAACATTAGTGGATTTCAAAGGGAGTACGTATTCAGGAACAAGTAACGTGTTTGGTATGTGGGGATCAATGATATAGGCACCACCAGACTCATATCCTTTACCAATAATCCTCTTGATTGTAAGATCCTTAAATTTGCCATAACAAGGAAAGAATGCTACAATGTAACTAAGTGTGATAGAACTCAAGAGTGGCAGGGAAATAAATGAAGTCTTTATCAGATTATGAAATCAGGATCTAACTCCATAAAATAATAAAGATGAAGAAACTTCTTATCAAAATATGAGCAAGAATCTTAAACTCATACAAGTAATAAAGCCAAGGAGAATCTTCAATAATAAATATTGAATTACTTTTTGGATAACTTTTACAAATAATGAGCCTCAATATTTATAGAAGCCAATTAGCTACCAATCCCTAGAATTTAGGCCCACTACCACATTAACTACCAATCCCTAGAATTTAGGCTCACTACCACATTACTTAGAAACTACTCCTAAAATTTAGGCCACTTACACATTATTTACTACTTAGTAACTAACATATATTAAATAAAACGTTTGACCTCATAAACAAATGACCACAACTGGCTCTACTATAAATATTAATAGCATAAAATAACAGCACATGTGGCACTCTGTCATTATCCCCTCCTTCAAATTTTGCCTTGTCCTCAAGGCAAAATCTAGACAAAAGCTTCTCTGCATATGTGGAGGTTTCGGTAGAGGTGGTATGAAGACAATATAATGAAAAACTCTAATTAAAGCAGTGGTGCTTTGAATATAAGGGTCCAAATATGACATTACAACTTCAAGGATAAATCGGTGGATGACGCCACTATCCAAGGGTTCATGAAGTGTCAGTGATGCTGTAGACTTTTGCAGGATGGTGTTGATACGTATATAAGAGTTTTGTAACCCCAAACCAGAGGCATTCTCATCAGCACTTGGCATAAGAATCATGGCTCCTTCATTAGCCAATTTTTAGGTGAGAATGGAGAGGTTTGATAGTGGCAACGAATATGAATCATCCCTTCATATTGGAAGAACCTCGACTCGAATTACCGTTGCCAATTGCCATCCATGCGAGATGTTCTAGTAAGGATCGTGGAGGGGCACTATGAAGACAACACAATTGCATTCTCTGTGAGGCGCTAACTTAGGGGCTGTTTGTTTCAGCCTCTTAATGGTTCAGATGTTTGAATGGTTCAACACTTAATGGTTCACACTGTTTGTTTCAGCTTCTTAATGGTTCAGATGTCTGAATGGTTAAGAGATTTGCCTCTGAATGGTTAAGTATTATACAGAGTCTGAATGGTTAAGACCTCTTATCTGAATTGATCAGACATTCTCTGAATAGTTAAGCAATATACTAGCTCTTAATGGTTCAGACCTTTTACTGGTTCAGCACTTAATGGTTCAAACCTCTTACTGGTTCAGCACTTACCTATTCAGAAGTTGCCAAACAGCCCCTTAGAGTTGCAATTGAAATTTCCTTGTCATCACGTAGGATATTACATGTTGGATGGGAGGAACTGAAATGGTTGGCTGCAATGGTAGGGTGTTTGGGCTTGCGAACGAATGCAATCCTGCCCTTCTATTTTTGAATTTTCTTTCCTTTCACCTCTAGATAAAATCGATGAGCTTTGACTCCTGTGCTAGTTGTCACATGTTGAAAAACCTTTCCTCGTAAGGAGAATAACTATTGGATACCAAATGAAAACTGTTGGCTACCATATTACCTAGTAACTATTGATGATGTCATAGGCCAACTACCACATTACCTAGTAACTATTCCTAGACTTTAGGCTCACTACCACATTACTTAGCAACTACAAAAATTTAGGTCCACTTACACATTATTAAATTATTTACTACTTAGTAACTAACATATATAAAATAAAACATTTGACCTCATAAACAAATGACCACAACTGACTCTACTATAAATATTAATAACATAACATAACAACATATGTGGACTCTATCAATGTGTAAGTATTGTTGACAAAACATAAATGAAATGGAAAATCAAGAAGGTTCAAGACATTGATCAAGTGTTTGGGTAATACTGTTTGTCTTTGAGTACCTTGGAGGTAGACCCATCAGCTAAAGCGGCCTGATAACTTGATGTGCGACTTTGTGTGAATATAAGGTCTAGAATTTGTCTGATTTACGTGTTTGTAGCTTTAGAATCAATGACCCACTATATGTGATGATAAAAGACACATGTTTACATTATCCGAACCAGCGATTAGTTGTAGGACCTCGGGCGCTACCAACTCTTCTAAAACCAATAACTGTTAGAAAATCTACCCTAGCATTTATAGTGCATTCGAGTGTGACTTGGCCTACATAGCCTCCGCCATGAGACAATTGATGCACACATGGCCAACAATATCTCCCTCAGCAAATTGCTCCCGTTGGGAATCGAACTCGTAACCTTGGCTCTGATACCACTGGTAGACCTCAGGTGCTACCAACTCTTCTAAAACCAATTGGTGTTTGAAAATGCGCATACCTTATAGTGCATTCAGCACACACAAGCACCCACGACATTCGAGTGTGACTTGGCCTACATAGCCTCTGCCACGGGATAATTGGTGCACACATGACCAACATTAGCGAGGGTGCATAAGATGGTCTTTTAGATGCACTGAGAGCATCAATGGCGAAGTTTCACAAGGTTGAACTGGCTGGGGCAGCACGTTTGTTGAGGGTTGTGGCTGAGCAGGTGGCAACAATGTAGCTGGCTTTGGAGTTGCGGGGGGAAGAGGGGTAGACATGGGGTTGTATCTGTTGTCGTGGCTGGTCAAAATGCGTTCCGGGTTGTTGAGGGACGAATGAAGGATTATTGGAAATCAAGACGAGGGGTTGAGACGTAGTGCCAGAGGGTAAAATATGTCCATGAACCCCGACTATGGTCACTGGTCCACCTTCCGAGGTAAATACTTCAGGGATTCCATGTTTGCAACAAAGGTTTCCGTCTTTCCAACATCTGAATGAATGATTGCAAATCCCTAATCTTAGTTTGAGTATCCTTCAAATCACCCATGATGGCCCACAAATGCCACAATGGAACTGGGATGTTATGTTCTGGAGGTAACTGTGTGTCAGAGTGCATTCCATCTAGGATGAAGGCTCCAACAACGAAGCGGGTTAACCTATGGCAAAGGCTGCCTCCATGTGCAGGGATTGGTTTCCTGCGTATGAGCATTGGAAAGAGAGAAACATATTTGGAAACAAAAATATACGTAGTAATTCTTAAGGAAACTAAAGTAGGAAACTAATATTGACGACGGCGATGATGATAATAAGAAGGATTATGGGAATAATAATAATAATGATAGTAATAATATTGATAATCATAATCATTAGGATGATGGTGGTAATGATGATGATGAGCCCCCCACCCCAACCCTCCACCCATACACATCAATTAATGAAATGTGATGATGTATGGCCTCATAATGCAATACTAAGATGGAGAACTCTAGAAATAACTGGTAGTCAAGTACCCAACAAGATCTCTTTATCGCGTACTGCTTTGCTTCTTCCAGTGTCAAGTCTGTTGCCATACCGTACTAAAGAATAAACTTATTGATTTGAATTCTAACTACTTTTTTCATAGTTTCTTTGTAGAGTAGCAGATATCCTTTCTGATTACCTTGGTGGGTTAAATGAAGATTTGGTAAAGGACAACTTTGTGATTGTGTATGAGGTACTTGTAATTGCATGTATTTGATAAATGTGGGTTATATTTCTCTATATATTTGATTGCATTCATCTGTCTGCTAATGAATTTCCTACTATTCAACATTTGTTCTTTTCTGTCTCCCTGGGATTCGTTTAAGTACTATATTCTAAATATAGTGGTTTAGGCTTCTTAAGGATTAATTTACATTATGTCTCTTGATGCTTGCACGGATACTTTCCATTGGCAACCGGCACTAGATAGTAATATACTGCTTTCGTTTACATAAATTTGCATAGTTTTATGAAAATCTTGATTTGGCTCTCTGAAAGAAGTTGTTTCTCTCATTGGGAAATCTAAACAAACAAATACATATCATCTCCTGAGTCCCATCAACTGGTTAACCCATACATCTTTTTATATTTCAACTCATGAGAAATTTCCCTAAATAGTCCTCTCTTATGTTGGCATTAACTTTGGACATCCATTTGAGAAAATCATCCAAATAGTCTTCTCTTGGGAAGTTCTCATGGACAAATGCTTATTTAAATATGAGTCCAAACACCCACTGTTCTGAGAAACAATTCCCCAAAGAGTCATATTTTCTTTTGACAGTTCTGTTGGACATCCACTGATTCTACTCATTCATTTCTTTCATGACATAAGTGGGGTCTAGAGTTAGACTTTCTGTGAGTTGATGTCTCCACAAATTGTCTATATAAGTTAGGGTTTTTTGGGGAATTTTCTCTCGAAATAGAGAATGTTTAGTCATATTTATATGAGTGGTTGTCAAGAAGAAACCTCAAAACAAGAGAGGACTATTTTGGGAATTTCCCTCATGATAGTGGATGTCCGGAGTCAATTTTGTTTGAGTGGGTATTCAGAAGAATTTCCAACATCAGAAAGGACTATTTGGGGAAATTCCTCTTCAACTCATTGTTCCTATATATTTGAAAAAATAAATTTTCATGCATTGACACTTGTAGCTTTTGGATGAGATGATAGACAATGGCTTCCCTCTAACAACAGAACCTAATATACTGAGAGAGATGATATCTCCTCCAAATATTGTTAGCAAAGTGTTGAGTGTTGTAACAGGCAGTAGTTCCAATGTCAGCAACACTCTTCCTCGCTCGACAGCAACCTGTGTTCCTTGGAGGAAAAGTGACTTGAAACATACAAGCAATGAGGTTTACGTTAACCTCAATGAAGAAATGGATGCTACTATTAACAAGTAGGTGCACATAATTAATACTTCTATTTTACCAATGTTGCCAAATGGCTATGGTGGAATGGCATAGCAGATTGTATGCTAGCAGCCAAAAAAAATCTTTGGTGGCACCATATGGTTGATTTTTTTTCTAGCATTATGACACCAATTTTTAGTTGTATGCTTTGGCCAAATTTTCTCAACTATATCTTGGACAGAATTACCACAATAAGCCACTTTTTTTCTATTCTTTAAATTCTGAGTTTTTAAACATTTTTGTATGTACTCAAACACTCAATTTTTTTTGGAACATGCTAGTACAGAAATCAAAACAAAATTGGGCTATATTTTTTTTTAAAAATTATGTGTATTTGAATGGGTTTTGAGAGCACTTGGGAATTTTGAGACTTTGTTGTTACACATTTTCTTTTATATGGATGTTAAACTTTGCTGAATTAGAAATCTAAACATTATCAACCACTCCCTCTATTTCGCGATAATGTTCCATAATTGACCGGGCACAGAGATTAAGAAAAGTAAAATTGTGTGGTTGAAAGTAGTGCAAAGAAGAGAGAAATAATAAGACAAACTTCTCCAAAAGGTAAAAGTGGAACCTTTTTTGGGACGGATGAAAAAGGAAACATGGTACATTATTGCGGGTCACAGGGAGTACAATATATAAAGTGAGATTTATATTAGTGCTACTAATGTATAACAATTCTCATTTATTACGTGTCACCTAGGCGGTCGCCAAGTCGACTATGCCTCATTGTGGTACATCGGCGCCTTGGCAACTAATCCAAATATGCATTTTCTCCAAATGGGCCAAAAGCGCAAAATGAAAAACATGGCAACATTATTGTACACAAGTAAACCTTTCACAATTGCATTCCCAAATATTTAAATTTGCTATGGCATTGAAATAAGTATGCACAATAGACATGTAGCGATAGCTTGCTTATTTACAAAAATGTCACAATGTATTTTCCATCTAACCTTTGAATATGTATATATACACATACGTAATATTTTTTGTATAACAATGTCAGGAGAGCGAGGACTAGGGTAGTTGAGTAGGCTTTTGGGTTTGGTGGTTGATTTTGCACTTTTCATTCTGTGCTTTCTTTTTTTGTTGCTTTTTGCTTATTGGTTTTTATCATTTGTACACCTTAGTTTGCTCTTTGCTGTTTTTTTTCTATGGTCTTTGCTTTATGTGCTCAACTTCCTGCATGTGTTACTCAATCTGGGGGTCTCTTGGAAAAAAACCTCACTACCTTTGAGTAGGGATAACTAGGTAAGGTCTGCGTACACATACCCTCTCCAAACCCTACTATCGTGGGATTCAACTAGATTATTGTTGTTGTACACACATATGTGCATACACATACATGTAGGTATATGTACACACAATATCTAAAATTCAATCAGAGATTTAGATTCATGGTCTGAGTTATTAAGTCAACGAGTAGTTGGTGAGGATATAATGAGTACTCGTTATTTGAACCTAATGTGCATATAATGGCCTTTCTAATCAAATAACAAGTACTTATTATATCCTCACTAACTACTTATTTAGTACTCAATGCTTTTTTTGGTGACTCATTTTACTCATCAAGTTATAACTTGGCGATAAGAGTGATGACCTACCTATGTTTAGCTTGTTGGGGACGTGCATGAGATTGGGGGGGGTGCCGAATCTAACTGGTCTTTATTGTTCAAATTTTATAATTAATGGACATGTAGTGAATGTTTTTCTGTGCTTATAAGCTGTTTTTAACTTATAAGTCAGCCGCTTTTGTGTAAGTGGATTAAACAAGTAAGGTTTAATCATATTTTCTCTAAACTCACGTATTGGATCCCGTCACACCACTCTTGACGCACAGTTGGCGCAAGAAAATTTTGACAGAATCTGAGACACCACAACCGAAGGTAAAGGGAGTTGGACTTACATCTGTCCAATGTCCCATGCTAAATGCTACAACCTACACACTATTGGGCCATGAGAATGAAAGTTGTCTTAAGGGTTCATAAGGTGTGGGAAACGATTGAACCAGGCTCAACCAATGTCGAGAAGAATGATATGGCAACAACACTTTTGTTTCAATCAATTCCAGAAAGTCTGATATTGCAAGTAGGCAATCAGGAGACTGCGAAGGATCTGTTAGATGCAATCAAAACCCGCCACTTGGGGGCTGAGAGGGTTAGAGAAGCTCATCTCCAAACCCTAAATGCAGAATTTGATAAACCTGAAGATGCATGATTCAGAGACAATTGATGACTTTGTTGAGAAGTTAACAAGTTTGACCTCAAAATCCGTAGCCCTAGGAGAAGAGATCGAAGAGAAAAAGATGGTACAGAAGTTTCTTAAAGCTCTTCCTCGTTCTAAATACATCCATATAGTCACCTTGTTGGAGCAAGTCTTGAATTTGAACAAACTAGGGTTTCAAGATACCATATGATGGTTGAAAGCCTATGGAGAGGGAATCATGGAAGAGGACATAGAAACACAACGTGAACTAATATTCTCCAATGGTGAAAGCTATTATTCTCGAATGGGAGAAAACGGATCAAGAGGACTAAGCTGATGCAACCAAGGTCGAGAAAGAGACTTAGACCACGATGATGATGACCAAGATGGAAGTCAATGTCGAGATGGTCAAGATCATGGGTCAAAGTGAACGGGTCATAGAAGAACCAATGATCGTCAGAAGGGAAGAAAGGATATATCAAAGGTTCAGTGTTATCGATGTGATAAATTTGGTCACTTTGCGTCAATGTGCCCGGAGTTTTGAAGAAACAAGAAGAATCTAATTTAGCTAAAATTGATGTTTTGGATCCATCTTTATTTATGATAAGATGTGATCAAGAGATTGTCTTTCTAAATGAAGAAGGGGTTGATTCTGAAGCTTTTCGAGATTCAACCAAAGTAGAAAGGCATTTGGTACCTCGACAACGGAGCATCGAATCACATGACAGATAATCAATCTTACTTCTTTGAACTTAATGAACATGTCACGGGAAAGACAAAATTTGGAGATGGATCTTGTATTGACATACAGGGAAAGGGATCAGTATTGCTTGAAGGGAAAACAGGGGAGCAGCGCCTGTTGTATGATGTTTAGTTGTTTACTACATACCGAGCTTGCAAAGCAACATCGTAAGTCTTGGTCAAGCAACGGAAGGTGGATGCAACATTCACATGAAGTGCGATTTGCAAACCATTCATGATGACACTAGGAAGCTTATGATGAAGGTGACAAGGACCAAGAACCGTTTGTTCAAGATCAACCTCAAGATAGCAAGTCTGAGCACACAAGTTAACATTATTCGAATGAAGAATTTTGCGGGTAGGGATCTACGAAGAGTTGATCAACCAAAAGAAGGCACGCGAAGTACAAGTTAGAATCTACTCAAAGATCCAAGTTTAATGGAGAAACCCAAAATTCAAAGTCCAAAGAAGAATGTTCAAGAGTTTAGAGGAAATGTCAAGAAAGGGATTCTAGCCCCAGGAAGGACTTGTAATGATCGCAAGAAGCAAGTCTTTGTTCAAGCTAAGTGGAGCCCAAAGAACACCGCAAGGGATCGTGAAGAGCCTTGGGAGAATCAAGGTAAAGAAGACATGCTTGGAGTTGAAGATCACCCTGAATCCAACTCTGAAATTAGGGTGGTGATTGTTGACTAATTACCGAGTAGGATTAGGAATACCGAGATATTCTAGCTTGAGTAGGAATAGAACTATGTTAATTAGCTTACTTGTTGACCAAGTTGGGTAACCACTATATATATATCATAGCCAAGCTTTGGGTTTTGATAGAGAGCCATATGAGATTTATATCAAAGTTATTGTATTAGGTTTTGAGTTATATTTTTCTAATATAACAAAAGTGTGTTCTCATCAAATAATCGTGTGTTCCACTTAGTACTTTAAATTCAATATGATCTATGATAGAAAACCATAAAAAATCACATTTGTGGATGACAGTGGGAGTTTTCAACCTCAACATCAGACCCGGTATAATCCCAACTCCGTCGAGGTTTGGTGGGCTCTATGTACACAACTTTACCCTTGTAAAAAACAGAAGAGAGAGTTTGTTTCCGCTAGACCCTTATGCATTGCTGCACTTACTACCCAAAGTTTCAAAGAGAGTCATAGCAATGGAAGTTTAATGTGCTATTACCCGAAGATAAAACATTGTCAAAATGACTCTTTTAGCTTCATGACAGGGCATATTCCATTATTTGTTTTGTGTTATTTTGTTTTTCCAAATGTGTTGTCTTTTGAAAATCTACTTTCACCCATCTTTCTATTTTCTGCACTTAGTAGAGACTTAGGCAATGTAAGGGTTTTATAAAAGGAGCGATGAGGTCTTTACTTCTATGCCCTCTTAAAAGGAGAGAATTGAGTTGGGTGAAAGGCAAGGGTGGCAAACCGAAGGATTGAATAAATTTTAAACGGATTATAAATTATAATGGATGACCTAAACAGATAATTGGCGTGTCCCTTAATCTAAAATTTGATGTTTCTAAAATATAGTAACATGCCAGAAATCACTTAAGGTTTTAGATCGCTTATATGATCAAAGCTTTATTTATTTTTGGCTGTTTCGTGGGAATTCTGTGGGTGGTAGGTCAGAATGCATCTATATAATTTTATGTTTGTTGCACTCCCTTATGATCATCCCAAGAGATTCATGTTTCTTAAGGTTCTAAATGACAAAACAAATAAACTTTATGTTCAACTTGCATCCTTGCTGATTATACCAATTCTCTTTTCTGGATTATTATTGTCCATCCTATTTATGGAATTATTGCTACTTATTAGTTTTGAAGCTTTTTATTGATAGTCGTCTAGTTCTGAATCATGTTTGTGATCCGTGGTTATGATTACTTAACATATATGAATTTTCCTGCTCAGGGAAGGGACTCTGGTAAAATGTGAGGTTTATGGTGAAATTGAAGTCAACTCACAACTTTCTGGTATCCCTGACCTTACTCTTTCATTTGCAAACCCATCTGTCTTGAACGATGTGCAATTCCATCCATGTGTTCGTTTACGGCCATGGGAAGCAAACCAAATCCTATCATTTGTTCCTCCTGATGGGCATTTCAAGCTGACAAGCTACAGGTTTGTGCTTTTTCTGGACTTCCTTTGTCGCTTGATTGTTCTTTTTGCATATAATATATGTGGATGGTGTGCATTTGAACGTTCTCCCTCGCAAAAGCTCTTGCAAAATGCATGATGCCATGATGAGATTCTTTCTGCCCCTATATGAATGAGTATTCAACTTGTGAAAAACCCAAAGGATCTTTATCCTGTTCTTCGGATCCAGATCCATGCTCATCTTTCTTAGATCATTAAGATTCCAAAGATTTTTTTAAATACTTTTTCAGAGTCAAGAAGTTGAAGAGTACTCCCATTTATGTGAAGCCGCAGCTCACTTCAGATTCTGGAACATGTCGAATCAGTATACTAGTTGGAATACGAAATGACCCAGGAAAGCCAATAGATGACGTGAGTCTGCAATTTCAACTGCCTAGTTGTGTTTCATCTGCAGATCTTTCTTCAAATCTGGGAACAGTGAACATCCTTGCACATAAGGTCTTTTTTTAGCCGATAGATGTTTTCCTGAATGCTATATAATTTTAGCATCTGGAAACTGACAACATTTTGTTTTTGGGTTCACAGACATGCTGTTGGTCGATTGGAAGGATCCCAAAAGACAAGAGTCCATCATTGTCTGGAACCTTAGTGCTGGAGACTGGCCTAAATCGTCTTCACGTATTTCCTACTTTTCGCGTGGGGTTCAAAATAATGGGCGCCGCCCTTTCTGGGCTTAAAATAGACAAATTGGATGTAAGGAATCTGCCTACGCGCCCTTACAAAGGATTCCGAGCTCAAACCCGTGCAGGAGAGTATCAAGTAAGGTCTTAAAGATCGAAACAATGCTTGGAACTTGAAATTGAACGAGGCTATAGGGGCTGTGTGTCAATTTTCCACACATTTTCTTCTCTGGAGTAGCTGTCTTTTGATGATGCCCTATTGTTGTAAAAAGCAGTATGAGAATTTGTTCTATATTTCGTTAGGGAACCCCTAATTCTCTATGGTTTACCTTAAAAAAAAGAGGCTAGTTTGGCATTAATACCTTTCCTTTATGACAAATGGAAAATAAATCTAGGTCAGAGAAGAGAAGAAAAAGCAAAGCACATGAATCTGACGATGACATTATGTACTGTTTTTTTTGTAGTTGATATTGAATTTGTGAAGTATGAAATGATTTGAGCGAACTTCTCTTTCCGATAGATCCATCTCATTTATGAAAAATGTAATTTTATCCATAATCAGTCTACATTTTGCCTTTATTTATTTTTACATTATAAAAATCTGATCAAATCATGCTTGATAAGAAATAGTTTTAAGTATAACTACAATCAAATCAGATTAGATTAGATCGCATCAAATTAAATCTAATTCGATCAGATCTAAAATAGATCGGATCCATGAGATTAGATCCAACTAAATCTTCAAAAAAACTAGATAGATCAAGTGAATGGAAAACAATGATATTCAAGGATGTAGTGCACTTGAGGACTTTAAAAATCCTACACAATTCGTCTATAATTACTTTAAATATCCTACACAATCTCACACTACCCTCAAATTTCTTCTTTTACCAAAAAAAGATCACTACTCTACTTCAACTCATCAACATGGATTCCAATAACCTAAACTTCCTATATCCTAACATTTTTTAAAATCTTATCAACCCCAGATGGACTCGAATAATCCAAAGAACCCGATGCATAACTACGCAAATTGGTTCTAACATGGGCTTAATTTCAACCATTCCACACTCGATATCGGGAACAACTTCGTTACTGAAACACAAGATGAACCACCATTCTATAGATGAACAACTCCGCTTATTTTTGTCGGATATCGAATTCGGATACGGATCTTGACGGATACTAAAAATCAAAACCCTATCCGCATTCGTCAGATATCGGTCGGATATCGGATATATCCTTATCCGTTTCTAATTTTTAAAATCAAATTAAATAATACTTTAATTTTAAATTAGATTGAAGTCAAACTATTATTAAATCAACTATAATTTTTTATGGGATAATTATTTTCTTTGTTTTTATGATTTATGATATTCTACGATAACCTCATATAATAAAAAGATATACACAACACACATATACACATATTTTTATATGCCTGCACATATTTTTATGTGTTTACACATTTATTTTGCATATAAAAATGTCTTATATTTTAAAATATCAATAGAGAAACGAAATATAAGCATGAAGACATTAGGAAAAACTATAAATAACGGATCGAATATTTGGATAAACAGTTATTTAAATGGATGCATATTCGGATAAGATTTTAAACAGATCGGATATACAATTACCAAATCCGTATCCGTTTAGTAATTGGATATCCTTAATCGGATACGGATAATGTCCGTTTAAAAAGAATGCAGATATTTCCTCTTTAAACATATACAGATGCGGACGGTAATCAGATTTTTGGCTATCCGTTGACAGCCCTAATTCCAATCCCAACTCGTCACCTATTACGAGCTGTCACCTTGGAAGAGAAAACACAAGAGAATATGATGGAGAAAACAACGAAGCCAAACACTCCGTAGAAGTTAAACATAAAAAAATGCAAAAAAAATATATTCTATGTCTTTATTTTCAAAGTAGGGTTACAATGAAAAAAAAATTAATCATTAAAGAAAAATATAGGTTTGGTTACATTAAGTGACATGTCTGATATTTAAAACAAAATCTTCTAATATATAAAGTATAATTACAAATATATTATTTTATGATAAATATTGCATAGATAAAGTGACGTGCAATGTAGCCACAATAACTTTTAAATATTTAACATTTTGATATTTATGCAAATTTTATATTTTTTATTAATTTTTTTTCAAAAGTATTTTTTTGTATGAAAAATAATACTCCATCCGTCCTATAATGTTCTTCCCGGTTCTATTTACGAAATTTGACCGACTTCATTTTTAATTCAATTTATTTGATTGTAGGTGTAAAATTAAAAAATAAAATTTATATATTTAAAAACTACATCAAAAGTTCTACAAAACAAGTAGTGACAAGACTATATTATTTTATCAAATACCTAATGAAAATAGGTAAAGAAAGTGATTAAAGTTTGACCGTGTAAATAGTAAGTGGGAAGAACATTTCAGGACGGAGGGAGTAATATTTTTTTATCTTAAAGACATTCATTAAGATAACGCGATGACAAAACAAGAATCAAAATGAAAATAATACGGAGTATAAAATGCGCAAATTTTTTTAAATGTTTTTTAGATTTTCAAATTTTTCTAGTTTTTTCAGTTCATTTAATTATTTCTAGTTTCTTCTAGTTTATTCTCGTTTCTTTTATTTTTTTCCAGTTCTTTCTAGTTTTTTTCAACATCCGGCTCTTTTTTTTTAGTCCTAAAAAACAGGCTCTTAAAAATGAACTTTTATGAGTACTTTTTTGCAATTCAGTTTTTTAAATTTTTAACACCTTTTAAACATAAAAAAACTGCTGCTAGGTACCCTAAAATATTGAAGTTTATGCTAGGTACCCTAAACTATTCAGTTCTCTATTTTGAAATAATAACTACCGAGTAACTCTAGTTTTTAAAATATACTATGAGGTACCCTAAAATATTGAAAAACTAATTGAGAGGTGATTTTTCATCCATGCCCCGTTTGCTCGCACTATCTCCATGATTTTTAGGTTTTCCAATTTTTTGAAGTTCTTCCAGTTCCTTCCATTTTTTTTCGGTTCCTTCGAGTTTTTTCCAGTTTCTTCTAGTTCTTCCAGTTTTTTTCAGTACTTCTAATTCTCCCAGTTTCTTCTAATTCTCCCAGTTTCTTTTAGTTTTTCCAATTTCTTCCAATATCCAGTTCTTTTTTTCCAGTCCTAAAGAAGAGACTCTCAAAGTAAGAAAAATTTATCATCTGGAGTCAAACCCCCCAATTAATCCGCATAGCTTATTATAGAGTGAAATGAACACAAGTCCATGCCCAACAAATGAACGCCAGAGCACTGTCCAATACCGTTCCCAAAATTATTCCTCAAACAATCCGACGATCTCTAAGCTGGAACTTCAATTCTTCAAGCTTGCGGATTTCCCAGAAACCAGCCTCATTTTTTGCTACCGATCTCCTGATATCTTACTTCAAAAAGGGCCTCGTCAGAGAAGCATGTACACTGTTCGACGAAATGCCTCACAAAGATGTTGTTACTTGGACGGCCATGATATCCGGGTACACTTCTTGCGGCCTCTACCATCGGGCATGGTCTGTTTTCTATTCGATGATGCGAGTTGTTAGCGTCCAACCAAACGAGTTCACGTTTTCGAGCACTTTGAAGGCCTGCAAAGGAATGAATGCACTTTCTTGTGGCAGTTTAGTTCATGGTCTGGTAATCAAGAACGGGGTTCACGGAAGCTTGTACGTTGCTAATGCACTCTTAGATGTCTATTCTACCCTTTCCACGGCTATGGATGACGCATGTGCGGTGTTTAGTGAAATCTGTGAGAAAAATGATGTGTCGTGGACAACAATGATTGCTGGATACACTCACAGGGGAGATGGCTATTTTGGCCTTCACACTTTTAAGCAAATGATATTGGTATGCCCCTCTGTTCACTGCATTGTTTATTTCATGCCTTTGGAAACAAAAATGTGTGTATCTTAACACCTTCATTCTATCATTTCCGATGGAGCCAAAAATTCCCTATTTTTTGGCTTTGGGGTATGATGGAATAATTGTGAAATGGTTCGTTAAATTGTGTTCACTTGTTTTTATATTGTTTTTGCTATCCTAACGCCTTCAAATTCAAAACTTCATGTTTGAACAATATCAAAACTTGAGGCGACAAGTTCATATTGCTGATTTTTTGTATACCACATATTTTGACAGGAGGGGGTTGAACCAAATGCCTTTACCTTTTCAATAGCCATAAGTGCTAGCACTTCAATCAGCCCATGTTCATGCGGAAAACATCTCCACGCTGTGGTAATCAAACATGGGTTTGATTCTAACGTGCCTGTTATGAACTCCATTCTGGACATGTATTGCAGGGGAAAAGACTTAGACGAAGCGAACCGCTGTTTTAATGAGATGCCACATCCTGATATAATCAGCTGGAATACTTTAATTGCTGGGTATGAAAAATCTGATCCGATCCAGTCTATCAGCTTGTATTTGTGCTTGGAATCAGAAGGCCCAAGCCCCAATGACTTCACATTTTCCAGCGTTGTAGCTGCTGCTGCAAATTTGGCAGCTCTAAGTTGCGGCGAACAAGTGCATGGGAAGATAATACAAAGAGGCCTTGTATGGAATTTGGAAATAGACAACGCTTTGATAGACATGTATGCAAAATGTGGGAATGTTACGAGTTCGCGTAAAATATTCGACGAAATACCGGTTAAAAATCTGGTTTCATGGACTTCAATGATGATTGGGTATGGAAGAAACGGATATGGTACAGAGTCCATTCAATTGTTTGATGAGATGGTTAGTTCTAATGTTACGCCAGATCGTATAGCTTTCATGGCAGTTTTACACGCATGTAGCCATGCTGGATTTGTGGATGAAGGTTTGAAGTATTTTAAGTCAATGGTTGACCGTTACAATATTGTCCCGGACCAGGAAACCTATGGGTGTGTTGTCGACTTGCTAGGGCGTGCTGGAAGAGTTAGGGAAGCTTATGAACTGATAGAGAGAATGCCATTTGCGGCCAATGAGTCGGTTTGGGGAGCATATCTTGGAGCATGTCTCTCTCATAAGCTTCCAGATTTTGGCACCTTGACAGCAAAGGAAGTGCTTGGTTTGAACCCAAAAGTTGCAGGGACTTATGTGATGCTCTCAAAGCTTCATGCAGCTAATGGTGAGTGGAGAGATTATGTGAAAATGAGGAATATGATTACCAACTCGTCGAATAAGAAAGAAGCCGGAAGAAGTTGGGTTGAGGTTAGGAATGAAGCCTATGATTTTGTTGCCGGAGAAAACTGATAAGTTCAATGTACGATGTGGAGACCGTAAGATCGTGCGATTGTAAATGGCGCCCGTTAGACTTGCTGTATTGTTTTTTGTACTCGGTATGAAGTTTTGGATAGTAAATGCATCAAGGCTCTAATAAAAACAATCTATTTTTGTATAGGGCTAAGACTACATACATATGGATTTACGGAGTAAATGTTAGGAATGTAAATTATGATGTACGGAGTAGGTAATTACTAAAGATATACTCCCTATGTTTTATTTTCTTGTTTACAACGAATTTGTCTTTAAGCTATTTGACAATAAAAGGAGTCGTTTTCCTACTTAGCACTTTAATACGGAGTATTTTTTTTTGTTCTACCATGAATCTTGTAT